TGTGGGGTGTGAGTGGTGTTTGTGTGTGTGTACAGGTGTGTGAATGTGGGGTATGGATGTGTTGCTGTAGTATATGAAATGGGTGTGGGTGTGTAGAGGTGTGTATACTGGTGTATGTGGGTGTGTGCAGGTGTGTGAATGTGGGGTGTGGATGTGTTGCTGTAGTATGTGAGGTGGGTGTGTGGAGGTGTGGCTATTGGCGTATGTCGGTGTGTGCAGTTGTGTATATGTAGGGTGTGGGTGTGTTGCTATAGCATGGGGGGTGTGGGTGTGCATGTGTATATATGTGGAGGGGTGTGGGTGTGCATGTGGGGTGAGTGTGCATGTGGGGTGAGTGTGTGCAGGTGTGTGTGAACATGCATGAGCACAGGCTGTGTACACACATCTGAAAGGCTGAGTGGCATCTACCTCCAGGTCATGAGGTTACAAGTAATGTTTACCTTATTCTCATTATTGAGGATTTTCTAATTTTTTACTATGGATATACGTATTTCTGAAATATGAGAAGACAGTAAATTATTTTAGTCTAAAAAGTAGTTGTGACAGGGATGAACTGATGAGCCGTAACTGATACGACTGTTACTCTGGCAAAGGGAAGTTAGCTCAAGGCTAACTTGGAGAGGCTGAGGTTGCTGTCGGCTGCCACCATTTCGCACCCACACATAGCGCCCCCATGTGGGCAGAGCAGAACCACTCCACAGAGTTTCAAGGCTGTGACCTTTTTGATCAGACAGCCCGGCCTGTCTTCTGAGGCACACCTGGGTGGGTTCAGCCATGGCTGATGAGGCAAAATCAGAACAGACCCAGACGTTTGAGAGGTGGTAGAAGTACAACACCCACAACAGGGCCAGTGACGGGCTGGGGCCCTGGAACAGGAGGCCCGGACGTGGCCTCACGAGCCTGCCTAGAGCTGAGTGGGACAGGATCACTGCTGGACTGTGGCAGGGTCATCCTGGAGCAGCCAGTGCTGTGTCCTGCGGCACCACGGCTGCTGCGCAAGATGCGTGCAGACTACTTGTGTCCTACGGGGAGAATCCACTTGCAGCAGGGCTTCCACCAGTAACCTTTCCATCCTGGTTATCACTCCAGCTCACGTACGCTCACAAGTACAGTTGGTTCTAGTGTTGCCTCGCTCATCAAAGCCCTGCTTTGAATCACCAACCCTTTGGCGAGCAGTTGAGCACTTAACCGTGGGCCCCACAGAGCTCCCAGTTTGGAGACAGTCCCTAGAAATAAAGTATTTCATTTGAAAAATCCATAGTAAAAGTCCTAACACTGTCCAACGGCTGCTGACCACCAGGGGTCGCAGTGCAGCCCATGTTTAAACAGCAAAGCGCTGAGGGAGTCTGAGCGATGTGCATCATGTGCTGAGCCCTGCCTTCACGTGTCACTGGATGGCACGCGTGTGCTCCTCTCTGCATGGCCTGAAGAAGCAGCCTGAGAAGGACTGTCAACTCATCACGGTGCAGACACACCACCGAAAACAGCTCCCCAGCTCTGTCACTGATCACTCGTGGCTCTGAGTATCTTCTGCCTTTCAAGGAAAACGGACACTATCCTGGGAGGAAGGAGACCTTGCGTGAGGTGCAGGAGCAGTGGAGAGAGGATCCACCGCTGGGGAAGTGCCCAAGCCTGGGGCTGGGAGAGGGCTGTGCAATACGCGTCTGTCGAGCACAGCTGCCAGGCCTAAGCAAGAGCTGACTGGAAGGAGCAGGCTGGTGGGGCAGACTCAGAGCCTGTTCAGGTCCCTGCACTGCTGCACTTAAGTCCACCCTACGTGACAGGGAGTCGTTCTGCATCCATCTTTACCCATGAGTCATCAGGACTCACCTGCTCTTTCACGGGAATGATATATCAACACATTGTTGTTAAGAGCGTCACACGTGAAAACACCTTTTAACAGACTTACATATGCGTATCCTGTAAAAGGCCTAGGTCTGTAAGCCGAGCAGACATCCAGCAGGAACTGTCTCCCTCCCAACCTCCAGTTACGGGGGCCAAAGGACAAGACTGTCCTCAACGTGTTAGCTCCCCAACAGACAAAATCAGAGCCCCTTCTAAAAAACTTTAAAATGCTTGCTGTGCAGCTCCAAGGGCACCAGATGTGAGGAAGTCCAGCAGCGAACAAGGACTCCGCCAGACTGACCTATGTTTACTGAGATGAACCTCACAACTGTTGATGAAGGCATTCTCAGGCACCTACCCTACACACGTAAGGAAAAGTATCATTTCTCCTGCCGAATTTAAGAACAGTGACTGTGCTCGCAGGACTGTTCTGTGCAGAACGGCTTGTGGTGTCCTTGAGGCCCTCTCTGGAGGGCGTCTTTCACCCTGAAGGAGAAAGAAGTACCCACCTGCGTCCTCTTACCCTGGAGCCTACCTTATGGGGATGATGTAGGAAAACAGGAGCAGGAAGCGGAAGAGGTTGCGGTGCCAGGGCCCCACGAATCCCTGTAAGGTGACCATCACAGCCGAGAGCAGAACCAATGCCAGGAAGAGTGCCTTGGTCAGCTGATTGAGCTCGAGGTCCAGCAGACCGACCTGGAGAGACAAGTCAGTCAGTGACGCTCAGGATCACGGGCCATCCCTGCAAGAGCAAACAGCGTTGAGGACCTTGAGGTTAGTGCACGGCAGTGAAAATCTGCAAACCGCGCTCTGCCCTGCACACCTCTGCAGACTCACGTGCATGACTGCGCCCTTCCCTGTGCACCTCTGCAGACTCCTGTCCATGACCTACCCTGCCCTGCATAACCCTGCAGACTCCTGTCCATGACTGCACCCTTCCCTGAACACTCCTGCAGACTCCTGTCCATGACTTACCCTGCCCTGCAGACTCACGTCCATGACCGCGCCCTTCCCTAAACACCCTGGCAGACTTGTGTCCATGACCTACCCTTCCCTGCGCACCCCTGCACTCATGTCCATGACTATGCCCTTCCCTGTGCACCCGTTCAGACTCATGTCCAAGATCTACCTATCCCTGTGCACCCCTGCAGATTCAGACCAGATATCTGAAAACGAAGCATGACTTCAGACACACCGCAGAAAGGACTGATCAACAAAACAAGAGGCCAAGAGGCCATGGTGCACTCAGCTTCTTGCGCAGAAGGATGGTGGGCAATAGGCCCATCAGCTCAACTGAGCAGGCAGACGCACACATCCAGGGCAGGCACGCATCTGCCCAGCCGTGCTCTCCCAGGGCAGGCACGTATCTGCCCGGTCGCACACATCCGGGGCAGGCTCACGTCTGACTGGCTCCTGATACGAGTGCCCTGTGCACACTTCCTACTCGAGCATTCTGTTCAGAGACAGGAAGTCTATCAAGAGGATCTCTGAACTTCTGTGATGAAGAAAGAGACAAGAAGCGCAATGGCTTGTCACACCCTAGACTTCAGGCTGTCACCAGAAAGAGCACCACCATGCTCCAGAGTTCAGCCTGTGCACCGTTTACAACGAAGTACAACATACGGAGAGGTTATGGTCATGAGAATGACTTCAGGTTCTGGCTGCATTCTGAGCCAGAGCTTGGAAACGTGAGCCAGCAGCCTAGCAGCACCCACTCCAAGTTCACTGACCGCTCTCCTGCAGCGTGCAGCACGGCCGAGTAGCAGTATCTGCTCTAAGCTCACCGGTCACTCCTCTACGGCGTGCAGCACGGCTCGAACAGCGGCGTCTGCACCAAGCTCACCACCCCTTTCCTGCAGCGCGCAGTGCAGCACGGCCTGGGCAGCAGCACCCGTCCCAGGTCACTGCCTGCTCCTCTGCAGCGTGCAACCTGGCTCTGAGCTCCGGTCCCTCCTCCTCAGCCCCGCTGCTGAAGCTCACGGCGCAGGGCAGTGGAGGTAGTAAGACGTGGTACCCCACAGCCACAGAACCCTGGTATGTCTCCTTCTCTGTAACACGGGGTCACAATGAGCCTTGTCATGGTGAGGTCGCACACGGCTGGTGACAGCCCCCAGCACACAGCAAGCCCCGCACATCGCTGCCCCGTTACCGTTTAATAAAGAACCAAGCGTGAGTTCGGATCCCCCATCTGCCATCAGCACGGCCTTCGGAAATATGCTTCACCTCCTCAACCCTCATTTTTTCATCTTCTCACAGACACATGGTGTGCAGAGCTGTATGTGGCCTGCTCACAGAGAGGCCCCGCTGTGTCCCAAGACCCCACGGGGGAGCCCCCTCACTCACCCAGGTATTTCTCTGGGCCCTGACACCCCATGGAGGGCCTCTCACACACCCTGGGCCCTCCCTACAGCCCGAGACCTGATGGGCGGAGTCTCACACACGACTACTCCAAGACAACAGCTTAGGAGCAAAGCTTTGGAACTGTGGTCTCGTCTGCCTTCCACTCATAAGCAAGGCTACAGAAACAGAACCAAAGTAAGGACCGACTCGCCCTCACTGGCTACTTGATTTCAGTGAAAGACTCAGCAACAAACTTGGCCTATCCTAAGAAACCATCTTCATGCTGCCACACTACGGGAGTTTTCAGGGGACACTTTCAAAGAACACACCCATGTGTCCTCTGACTTCACTGTGACGGGTTGCTCCCAGCCCCCAAAATGTGAGAAAATGTGCCACTATCACCTCCCAAGCTCCCAGCTCCATGGTCTCTGGGTCGTGCAGAGAACCACTGGATGCCTACGACCCTAGACAACCAGCAGCCTGGACAGGAAGGCACCAGCCAACCCGCTCATCCCCAGTGTCTGGGCAGCTGCGGTCCCTCCCCGGATGGATGGGACCATATAGTCAGTATGCCTGCCCCCAGTTTGTATGCACCTGAGGTCTATCCCTGGAGGAATGGGAGTGCACCAGCATCCCGGTCCCCAGTGTCTGTGCGCCCACGATCCCCCCCTGGTTGGACAGGACCACATACTCAGTATGCCCATATCCACTGTGTGTGGACCTGAGGTCTCTCCCCAGATGGAGGGGACCTCATCAGCCTGCCCGTCCCCTGTCTGTGCACCTGTGGTCTCTCCATGGGTGGACAGGACTGCACCAGCATCCCAGTCCCCAGTGCCTCTGCTCTTGTGGTCTCTCCCTGTGGCCAATTCAGCATGGCCTTGGACAGGGCCAAAACGAAGACAAATATATTGCAATTTCCACTACTTCAACTACTACATAGTTTAAGCTTGAATTATTGAGAAAAATAGGTTTTTGGATTAAAATGAAGAAAAATTAAGCCTGAGAAGTGGAGGCCATGTCACAGCCCCGTTCCTTCCTATGACAAAGGCAAGGGCCAGATGAAACCATTATTCACGCAGTCAGGGAAAAAGACTCAATTACTTCAACCCAAGATGCTCTTAGTGCATGCAACGTGCATACTTCCCTCTGTTCATCCAAATCCCATTAAAAAGTGAGAGCAATGATTTAATCTGCCCATCCAGAGTTGGTCTTTTGTAATAAAACAGAAAATCACTGTCCTGCAAGATGGATAACCACTAACTGCCGTCCCCTGCTGAGCTGGAGGCGTGAAACACTATACAAGCAGGACAGAGGCAGAGGTGACAGCAAAGTGTCCAGTGCAGAGACATCGTCTTGAGGGTGGACGGTGTGCACAGAACACCAACAGAGTGTCCACAGAGATGCAGCCTTGAGTGTGGATGGTGCACATGAAGCACCAACAAAGTGCCCGCTGCAGACACGCAGCCGTCAGGGTGGATGGTGTGCACAGAGCACCAACAAAGTGTCTGCTGCAGACTCAGCCTCGAAGGTGGACAGTGTGCACAGAACATTAACAAAGTGTCCGCAGAAGAGACGCTGCCATGAGGGTGGGTGGTGCACATGAAGCACCAACAAATGTCTGCTGCAGACATGCAGTCGTGAGGGTGGATGGTGTGCACAGAGCACCAACAGAGTGTCCGCTGCAGACATGCTGCCTTGAGGGTGGACAGTGCGCACAGAGCACCAACAGAGTGTCCACAGAAGAGACGCTGCCTTGAAGGTGGGTGGTGCACACGAAGCACCAACAGAGTGTCCGCTGCAGACACACAGCCGCGAGGGTGGACAGTGCGCACAGAACACCAACAGAGTGCCCGCTGCAGACACACAGCCGCGAGGGTGGACGGTGCGCACAGAACACCAACAGAGTGCCCGCTGCAGACACACAGCCGCGAGGGTGGACAGTGTGCACAGAGGACCAACAAAGTGTCCACAGAAGAGACGTTGCCGTGAGGGTGCGTGGTGCACATGAAGCACCAACATATGTCTGTTGCAGAGACGCAGCCGCGAGGGTGGACAGTGCGCACAGAGCACCAACAGAGCATCTGCTGCAGACACGCAGCCTTGAGGGCGGACAGTGCACACAGAACATTAACAAAGTGTCTGCTGCAGAGACTCAGCCGTGAGGGTGGATGGTGCACATGAAGCACCAACAGAGTGTCCACTGCAGATGCGCAGCCTTGAGAGTGGATGGTGCACCAATACTCTCGTGGCCCAACCACCGACTAGGGCACGTGGCAGTGCTGACACTGACTAAACGCTGCCCTCCTTTTTAGCGTGAACAAAGGCGACAACATTTAACAGAATAAAGTGCACCCCTGGCGGTGGGCTTTCCCTGCATGTTCCCAGCAGCCTTCTCTGGATGTGGAACTTCTTCTGGAATGGAACTGCAACCAAGCTGCTGCACAGTACAACCTTGATGATTTCTAAGAAATGTGCAAGAACAAGGTGCATTTGCACACGTGTGGAAAGAACCCACTGCTTTCAAGAGCAGATGTTTCTCTGAAACATCCCAAGCTTTTTGTTGTCTGCTCTTAGAAGCTGTTCACTATAAACAGTTAGCTTTTAAAGTTGTTGATTCTATCAAGAAGGTGCTTACTATAGTTCTGAGGCACATCTTTCTTGAAAAATCTGACACACCTGGCCAGAGCAGATACCTGCGTGCCTGCCAACCTACCTGCACAGAATTGCTGAGAAATCCCTTGCATACCTACGGCCGCATAAGGAAAGGTGGATGAGGCATGCAGGATGCATTTATTGTATCTGAAATAAGTGTGGTAACAAAACTAAACATGCTGCTGAAAATTTCCACCTCCAAGGGAAGATGTGCGGAACGTCTAGGACAACCCCAAGAGTTTTGCAAAGGGGCTGTTCTAGCATAATGAGCACAGTGATTGCCTGCAGAATCTGAAACACTACTAACGACAACAATCACAAATCCATTTAGCTCCTGGTTAATTTACGTAGCAAGTTTTAAATAGCTAACGGTTCACAGTGAGAGAATGGTTCACACCAACAAGGGGTAAATATGGTATTCTCCTGTTTAATCAAGACAAGATCATCGTGTTCTTTTCGTTTTGAAATGAGTGAGTGAGTGAGAACCAGCTCTTACCTTCCACATACAGGCCCGTGCCAAAGCACCTCAAAGTTAAACCCTCCTACCACCGAGTTCCTAAGAAATCAAGGCACACATGGAACTGGGACAAAGGTCGCCATACCAAAGACTGGGGTCCAGCAAGCAGAAGCAGCCTCACCATTCATCACAGAACTTCATCCTGGGATGGGCCTTCTGAACGCTGAGACCCTCGGACCATTCTCGA